CAGAGACTCTGGATACTGGGAGATAGCGTCTGTGGTAACACGGCTAGTTCTCTAGAATGAGAAATGCAACCTTAATTGAAAAGTCTTTTGCAGAAGCAGTTGTGGACCCAAATGATTTAAAAAAAAAACATTTTAAATCTTTACTTGATTCAGAAGATTGATTATGTACATGCAAAGCATTTATAAAAGCATACTGGAGGGAAAACCTGTTTATTTCTATTTGATTACTGTAAGTTATTTACTTTCTTTTACATACTTATGCTTTGATAAATTCTGATGAACAATTCACAAGCATCCACATCCACTTGTAATGATAATCTTAGATTATACTTAGATGAGAAAGTTTATAATAGAAGAGGCCATTGTGGAAAATAGGATCAATAACCCGGTCATTTAGAAGACTGCCCCCTTTATTCGGTAGGATCACATAAATACGCCTTTTTTAACACCACCCTTCACACTAAGAGTCAAGATTTGATGTCCAATTTTATTGTTCATTTTGCTGTTCATCCAATTAATTCTTGACATATCATTAATTTAGCAGGTTAGTGATGAAGTTAATGAGGATAAATCTGATATAACATATTGAGCATTGATGATACGTTAAGAATTAATTGAATAGATAGCAAATCTTGACTGTCACACTATAAAAGTTAATCACACCCAAAATCCATGCGTCTTGTTGACTTCCTTGGCTCGCGCATAGATAAAATGATATTCTGCCCAATAATCCCAAAATTGACTATTGAAATTTCATACTTGAGTTATTTCTTAAATAGTATTATAAACAAGTTGAGGATAAAAATAATAATAGTTGCATCAAAAATAACAAGTCAAGAGAGAACAATCCACAAGTTTCATCTATTCTTTGCTCAAATCACTAGTTAACAAAGAGATGACTATTAATTGCTGAATAAGAAATGAAGTAATTATCACAAGTTGGAAACAGAAATAAAAATCTAAAAAGAAATTGACATCTCATCAGCTGGTAATATTTTAGTCTTCTAAAAAATTCTCTACTTCAAGTAATTCTTCTCTTGCATATCATACAAGAATTTGCAGCTGGTTCTCAAACTAGTGGAGATGGAGAAAGCGCCTCGGAAACCCATTTTTTGTTCGACTCCAGTTACCTTTCTAGTTGTCCTTTCTTTGCTGTATATTGATCTTTTTTGGGCCAATTTTATTTCATTTGATCGACGTAAACTTCTACCTTTTTTCTTGAATTCAGTTCTTCTTTTTAGTCAATTATTCTGTATGACTAACTCAGATTGAATCGTTCCATGTTTTATGGAAATGGCAGGGAAGAAAGACTGCTCTAATTCAGAAACCATTTTCAACAATAGAAAGATCATCAATGAAACAGATGAAGAAAAGCAGAACTCCCTGGATTTTCTCTTCTCAAGCCTCCTGACAGGTCTGTGCCCCCTCCACTCTGATGTCGAATTAGTACTAGTACGATTGTGATATTTTGATTCGATTAAACAGGGGAAGATCGGTCGAAGCTAAAAGCTACTGGATTTGCATGTAACACGGCTGTTCATTCGATCCATTGTGTTACGAATCGACCTGTAATGATCGACACAAGAACCATGACAGTTTATATTCCCTCTGATCAGCCTGTTCAAGAAACTGTGATTAAGCCATATTCTCGGCAAGAAGATCATAATCTTCTCAAAATTGTGACACCGGTCAAGATTTTGCACGGGAACACGACGCCACCAGTTTGTCAACACAACCACGAAATCCCTGCTGTGATCTTCTCATCTAGTGGCTTTGTGGGCAATGTATTCCATGAAATCAATGAAATCATCATCCCTTTGTATATTACTAGTAAAAACTTTAAATCCCGCCTTTTGTTCATCCTTGAGGACTACAAGCAGTCATTTCTAAGCAAATATGGTAAGGTAATCTCTCGTTTATCGTCCTATGAGGTGATGAATCCGGCTGCAGATCAAAGTGTGCATTGTTTTCCTGGAGCTGTAGTCGGACTTATGTTTCACGGCCATCTGTCTTTGAATTCGAGCGATGTCCCTAAAGGCCATTTGATGCGCGAGTTAAGGCAGTTTCTTCGACAGGCATTTAATCTCAAGTTTAGCCATGTATCCCAGATCAAAAGGCCAACGTTAATGCTTTTATCTCGTAGAACGACAAGAAGATTTTTGAACGAAGATGAAATGGTTGCAATGATGGAAGACTTAGGCTTTCGAGTAATTGTAGTTGCAAGAGCAAAAGTAGTATCGAATTTGAACATATTCGCCAATCTGATAAACTCGTGCAAGGTGTTCGTGGCTGCACACGGTGCTGGCCTAACAAATGAGTTGTTCTTGCCTGATGGTGCAGTCATGGTTCAAGTTGATCTGGTTGGCCTAGAATGGGCAGGGGCGACCTATTATGGGAACCCGGCTCAGGCAATGGGGGTGCATTACTTGCGATATAAGATCGAGCCAGAGGAGAGTTCACTTTTGAAAGTCTTCGGACGAAATCATACGGTAATGACGGATCCCAGATCGGTCCACGACCCATTAGGCAAGGAAGCGTATCTTAACGGTCAAAATGTAAGAATCAATCTTGCAAGGTTTCGGGAGACATTAGTAGAAGCACTTAGTCTTGTTGGAGATTCGACTCTATGATTTTACGCGTAAGTGAGGATTCATGTCTTGAGTCGAGCAATCAGGCAAATGTATCAATGTGTTGCTCACTACATATCAGGCAAGTGCAAGTATGATGAAAAACAATTCAAGTGCAGATTTTCTTTATGAAATGATGCAGATTTCAACTTTCTTATAAGAAGCATTTAGGCAAGCAATTTCACATTTATCATTGTGGCTAGTGTAGAATTCCTCATTGATCTGCAATTAAATGAAGATGGAACCAGCATCAAGTTGTGGAGCTTAATTATTCTCTGTCGTACACATATGATTAGAGATAGTTTAGAATTTTCACATTTGTAATTTCGATTTTGTCCCAGAAAAGGAGAGTTGTCATTAGGGTTTTGAATAATCATTAAAAAAGAAAAAGAAAGGTTAGAGAAGATAGGGTGTACTATTTTTCTCTCGTAAACTTCTTTTCATTATGGTGAATTGCAGATACGGTATACGAAAACGTAGTTTCCCATTGAAGTGAGCGTTGTTGTATCTATTTTTTTCAAAGATTTTATTGCTCTTAAGGATATAAATTTATGATTTCTAATTCACCAGTGACCAGAAAAATCTAGCAGTTCTACCCTAAAATTTGTCCAGAGACGAGTCAGAGCCCAAGACTGGATCGAAAGATAACTAGCAGCCAAGCGATAAAAACGGAAACACGAAAGTCAACTCAATCAAAGGTACAAAGAACATTTTAAAAATAATATAATAATAATTAAAGAATTAAGAGATCGTTTTCATACATCGTCACGAACGAGTATGGACAATTGGAAAATTTTGCAACCTTCTATACGTTGAGACAAATGGTCAAAATCCCAATGTACATGATTACGATTTTTTTTTTAATTTGATTAATTTATTGATTTTTAAATCTATTTTCTTATATTGTATTTTCAAAAATATTTTTATTTACGTCACAAAGAAACGTGATTGGGACACGACTTGCCCCAGGCATAGGAAAATATTATTTGTTGAATATTCCATATCTATTGTACCCCCAATAAAAAATACATTTCATAATAACTATAAAAATAAAAATAAAGGTGACACGTGAAATTTGATTGCATGAAAATTAATGATATATCTGCCAAATCGATATTTTAAAAAATTCTTCCTTAAAATGCTATTTATTCTTTTGAAGTTAATCACACGAAATTTTGATTGTAATAAATAATGTTGATCGAGTAGTGCAAAGGGTAATAAGTCGTAATTATGTCGACTTTGTTACCATATACACCACTCGATTGTTTGTTTGTCTATTAGTTACCATCTACGCGGCTACACCACTCAATTGTCAAATTGTCTATTACAACCACATTTCTTTCGACTTTTTGTGATTAATTTCCATACTCGATGACCTTTGGAAGTTTCATTGAGATCATCATTTTTCATATTTTCAGAGGGAATTTAGAGAGAGAAAAAAAAAGAAAAAAAAAAAGGGCTGTGTATTACAGGATCATGGCCCATAGAAATAGATTTTTTGAGGAAGATGTTGGAGGAAAGGAGGCTTTAATAAACAATATGATAATTGAGTGGCGCACAAAGCGGTGTCATATGACAGAGCTTCTACTTTTGCTTTCGTTTCTTAGGTCAGCTTTCTCTAAGTGTGTGTTTAGTTGACTTTATTTTCTATCGAAAATCTTATTTTTCTATCCAAATTCCTATTTTTGGAATGTTTAATTGACACTTTTTTCCAAAAAGAATATTTTTCAACTTTTGGTCATGTGATCATATTTACCTCAAAAACAAGAAAAACATTTCTTCAGGGAAGGATAATTTTCATTTTTCAGGTAATTCACTTTCTTTTTTTCTCTTATCCATCAATTCTCTTTTATCTACTCACCAATTAAAAATGAACAATTATAATATTTTTTAAATTGAAAATTAAATCAATCAAACACATTTAATCAATAATTTCTATACAAATAAGTTTTAGGCAATTTTTGTCTAGAAGTTATTTCTTTTACATGCAAATTCCACTATTGCAATCAAACGCATCCTAAAAGTTCTAACTAGAAAAAATACTTTCAAAAAATTATCAAAACATATTTAAATGCAGCTTCTTTGATCTCAAATAGCTTTTGACTTTTCAAAATTCCGCCAAATGCCCCCAAGTAGTTGTAAGATGAATATTTTCAGTTTAAATAGGAAAATGATGAAACTGATAATGTGAAAACTCAAAATCTTGGCGGGATGAGTCTTGAAAAAAATTATTCTTTGTCACATTACCAGGACTAAGAATTTTCCGAGGTATGACTACAAACCCAAATCAGAGAGAGAGAGATTAAGTTGGAAAATTCTAGTGATGGCAGATTTCCAGGCAACAACTTCCCCACCCAAAATTGGACGGAATCCAGAAGAAAATTTACAGTTGAACTATTTGTACAATCCTTGTTGATAACTATTGTTAGCAACTTCGGTGTTGTCAAAATCCAAACTGTTGATTTAAAAAACAGTTTTTAAAATGGATGAATGTTATATTACCAAATGTGAAATTGTCAATCAAGATTGTACAATAAAATAATTAAACGAAGAAGCTAAGGAAATTTTTTTAATCCCACACCGTTGCCATCCCGGAAAATTCCAACTTCAACTATCAAGCTGGTTCCTAACAATTTACCAGTCTGGTCGTATCATCATCCTAACTTGGCGTGCAAGCACCCAAATATAACCCAAAAGAGAAGAAATTCCAGAAAGTCAGCTTTTCACAACGCAAAAAGTAATTTAGTTAAATAGCACACAAATCTTTTGATAATATATATAGATTATACCAGACATCTCTCCAGTTTCCCGAGATGTTAATAAACACCTCTAGAAGGATGAAAAATGACAGCCAATGTTTTTGCATCAGACATGTCATAAAGCACTCTTTATTACATCATCGCGCAGGGTAAGCGACAACAGCAGACTATTCTGATGGCAATAAATTTCGACTCAGCTAACAAGCAAGTGATCGAATCCTCCCCCTGCTTGCATAGCAGCAACCCGAGGACCTTGCACATTGTGAAGCAACTGCTGCAGCCACCTTCTCGTGGTTGGATCTTCCTGAAAATATAAAGAATTGGAAAGAGCATTCACCAAGTGTTCCATTTAGGAGAGGAAAATCTAACAGTGGACAATCTCGGTTGAATAATACTTACACGAAGGCAACTGCTAAATGTTGCATCTCTAAGGATGTCTGGAAGACAACTTCTCAGCGCATCACAGGCTCTGTATAAAATAAGGTGTTTGGTTTCAGCAAAGAGACGTTTTTTCTAAAAAAAATGAAAGCAGGTGAGTCGAGTAAATTATTCTCACCTTACATTATCAGATAATCGAAGGTAGCACCTGATTATGTGTTTTAACAGCCGAACTGAAGGCTGCTCAGCAAGAGCAGCAACCATATTTCCCAGTACTCGACCTACAGCAAAGAATCGCTCTGCTGTGGCACATATGTAATCTAAGCCCACATCATCAAGCAAAATCTTTTGCACAATAAATGTTGCAACCTGACAACAGAAGCCTCTCTGTCATAGTTGAATAAAATCCAGCAAAATGATACCTAAGGAACAGTCGATGTCAAATTGTAAAACTCAAATTAGTCTTGTTCAATAATGTGATCCCAGTCCCAGAGTTACCAATCTAAAAGGACTTTAATAGGACAGCAGGCTTGACTAATTTTTAGATTGACTGACTGTGAAAATGAATGTAGCTGTTCACACCACCTAGTTAAAAACAAATTCGGAAAATGGGAGTGTAGCATAATTTCAGATAATCACATATCAAATGAAAACCCAAATAACTACAGCTATAATATGGCAATGAACGGTGGACAGCCACAGGTAAAAGATAATCATTTGCAATAGAAGTAAAACCACACCTTCATGGTTTTCGGTTTTCCTCCCTGGAAATTCCAATACTCTTAATGATGGAGATTTAGTTGCCATAACAAGAAATTATTCAACCAACTCATTTTATTAAATAAGTGTTTAAAACACGTCTATGCAAGCATAACCTTTAGTTGCCATCTAAAACCAGCTACACCAGTTGGATGGCTATATAGATTGCAATATATTAAAGATCGAGTAATTATTGGCGTATTCCTAGAGAAACTAAGTAGAAATAACAGAGATTAATCAAAAAGAAATGTTCACAAGGCACTCAACTGTTTTTGATAATTCACTACCCATCTCCATGGTGCGCAGGCACAGGGGAATAATTTCAGTAGAGAGAAGGAAACTGATAACTTCAGTGTCATCAACCTGGACAGCGAAGGAAAGCAAATGACAGAAATTGTTATTTCTCATCTGGAGAACGGAGAATAAATAGCAATGCTGGAAAGAAGTATTATATTAATTGTTATCGAAGTAGACATAAAATCGTATTTATTCTGATATTTCAACACATCCAAGTTTTGCATAGGCTGAAAGGGGATAGACCAAAACTAAGACGGTTCACTATTATCCCAAGCTCTAACTGTTTTGAATTTTCAAGTAGATAAAGCAATCAGCTAAACAAAGCGGCAAAAAGGTCCAACTTTATTGATAGTAAGGCTTAGTTTGTCCTTTTCTTTGTTTGTTACTGTAATTCATCCACTGTTCCAAGTAAGTCCGCAACACAATAAATTAACAGGTGAAATCGTAGAGTGGAGATCATACATGCTAAAGACCTGTCAAGAATACACAAGCACCACACACAGAATGGGAGTAAGGGGTGAGAGAAAAGTACGTTGTTCATAAAATGGCTGTAATCGAGAAAACAAATTTCTGTTTGAGCAACACACGCAACTCAGGAAAATAAAATTTGCAAAATATCTTCAGGGATAGAAAATACCTTCACCAAAGCACCAATGACACCTAAACTTGTAAGCCTCAAGTACTCAAAGGGCCTTGATTTGCTGGTTGTGTTGAGAAAAGGGTACAGATACAATGGTATGTGGGCTACAATAGAGAAAAGTCAG